ATCACTATGAGCACCTGTGAGTCACCTGGCATCATTATGAGCATCCTGTGAGACACCTGGCATCATTATGGGCACCTGTGAAACACCTGACATCATTATGAGCACCTGTGAGTCACCTGGCATCATTATGAGCACCTATGAGACACCTGACATCGTTATGAGCACCTGTGAGTCACCTGGCACCATTATGAATACACCTGTCAGTCACCTGGCATCATTGAGTAACTGGATTCACCTGGCAACATTATGAGCACCTGTGAGACACCTGGCATCACTATGAGCACCTGTGACACACCTGACATCATTATGGGCACCCGTGAGACACCTGGCATCATTATGAGCACCTGAGTCACCAGGCATCATTATGAGCACCTGTGAGTCACCTGGCATCATTATGACCACCTGTGAATCACCTGGCACCATTATGAGCACCTGTGAGTCACCTGACATCATTATGAGCACCTGCATCACCTATAAGTACACCTGTGTCAGTCACCTGGCATCATTATGAGCACCTGTGAGTCACCTGGCATCATTATGAGCATTTGTGAGTCACCTGGCATAATTATGAGCACTTGTGAGTCACCTGGCATTATTATGAGCACTTGTGAGTCACCTGGCATTATTATGAGCACCTGCATCACTTATAAGTACACCTGTGAGTCACCTGGCATCAGTATGAACCCCTGCATCACCTATAAGTACACCTGTGAGTCACCTGGCATAATTATAAGCATTTGTGAGTCATCTGACATTATTATGAGCACTTGTCAGTCACCTGGCATCACAATAAGGCTCTGACTATTAAGCCATCACCGGTTGAATAGCCAGGTAGTCTACGCTAACCATCACTACATTACTCAGCCCCCGAACGAGTTTATAGAATTTTGCACAAAAATTTCTGGATATGTTATTTTCATCATACTAAACAAGAAAACGCAAATGACAATGTACAGAACCTAACTTGACTTGACCTACCTAACTTAACCTGACCTGAACTAGCCTAACCTAACCTACCTTACCTAAGTTCCTAAACGGCGATATTACACAAACTGTATATGTACAGTCGGCCACAGGAATAAGTACGTACACTGTAGCTGTAAGGTCCGAAAATGGTTTGGTAACGTTGAAACTGCGCATCCAGACGCATGATGAAACTCAGCTACCCCCCCACCCCCCCGACCTGTTATATCTAACTATTTTCTTTTTCCCCTTCTTTATTCTTCTACTAACTCCTCTTGCTTCCTTTACCAATCCAAACATCAGTAAAAAAAATGAAGGGCAAGAGAAAAATATGAGGGAAGGTGGGAGCTGTACGACAACTGCAATCCCATTCGGCAACAAGTTTACTACCATTGGATACAATATATTACTTGTAATATAAATACAAGACACTAGTAAAACATTCACAACAAATGTATTTATAACATATATGTAGGAATAAAACATAAATTACAGGTCATTTTGTAATTTTCTGTTCCGTTCAGGACAGTGTTACCAGATATTTTGTCTCAAACACGAACCGTAGGTTTATACTTATTCTTGTGGCCGACTGTACAGTAGTTACAGATATACAGTTGTTTAAGGGTTTACGGCTGAATAGCTTGGCTGTCTATGTAGATGTCCCGGGTACATAAACTCCCAGGCTAATCAACCGGCGACGGGTTAATAATAGCTACTGCATCACAATAAACACCTGTGAGACCTGAGTTTATGAGGGGTGCAGGTGTGTAATTTACATCACTATGAACACCTGTTAGATACCTAAATCCACTAAACCCATTTGTTCTACACCTGTGGGGTAGCTGAGATCAGTGCTACGTACACTAACCCCTGATAACAGTTGTAGTGTACAGTAATAACGTGTACACTAACCACCATATTAACTATTAACCCGTAAAATTAACTGACGAATATCTTCACGGAATTTACACCGCTACAAATTATTCTCACATGTATTCAATTTGCTAGAGAATTAATTAATTGTGCAGATAAAGATAAAATTATATTAACAAATTTGCCAACTTTGGTATTTAACGAGAGGCGGTGAGGTAGGTACAGTATGTGTGGCCAGATGGCGGCAATTGGAGGCCTTGCAGTTTGTTAAGGGGCGGCCGTGAGGTACCACGATGGCATCCTGTTTCTCTCTCTCCTTCAAAACTGTTGGTCACTGTACCCACGCGGCAGAATCAGTGTACCTCCTTACCTCTGACTATTGTCTTCCTCATATGTAATGATTTGTCCGTGGATAATAAAATTAAGACGTACTGGACCGGGACAACCACCAGGGAAGTAGTTAAGTGACATCGCATCCTGGACCTTTTTTTTCTATACCTGATTTACCCCGCGAGGTGGCTAGTTTATTGGGCACCCCCTTGCATCCTGTGCAAGGTAAAGCGCAAAGGCGTTTACAGCGCCTTCTTGACTCATGTAATCTAGGACACAAGTGCCTTACAGTGACGGGATGTGCAAATGTCAGGGATCACTGACCTTGACCCATATCACGACCTTCAGAACGTTCCACATCCTGTGGTGGTGATAGACTGTACACGCAGACTTGACATATTTCACCAATTATTGTATTATAACTAAAGACATGGATATGTTACCGAGGTGATAGACAGGTGAAGTGATTGCTAAAATATTACTTCATCGTCCACGTGAGGAGCAACACAGGTATTAATGTAACTGACCAAGTGTAGAGAGTGAAGTGTCTAGCAACACAAGACATATACACACTCCCCCCAAAAAGTATCGCCTCTATTCTCATCGATACAATGTGTCACAATTGACGAGTATTTCCGATCACTAATTGATTCCTGCATGATGTTGGTAGGCCGGCCTTCCTAGTATGTGAGGTCGCCAATTATTATTTCTGGCATTTGTTGTAATTATGGTGCATCACTGTGCTCCAACTTTAGTAGAATAATATAATGATATTAATGTAGCGAAAATATATCAACGGCAGTCAAATAGAGGGTGTTTTCTGCTGGAAATCCATGAACAACACTAGTACCCGAGACTCATTGGAAAACACAGCTTGCACCGACAAACATCGCCTCGTAGTGTGTATCAGATAATGCTCCGATGCCAGCACGAATCATGAGATGATACGTTATATTCATAATTGTTACCTCATCAATTGAGGTACAAATAAAATCGAAATGCAGTCATTGTAATTGGATATGGCATCATAATACACCTGTAATTACTATATTTGCAAATGAATGTAATATCAGATCATTGTGTTTCACATTTCGTTCGAAGCGATTCTAATGTAACCTCGGTTCAGGAAAACATAGTTACGTTATATTCCTATCTGGCAACCCATCCCCTGGGGTTGAAATAGTATCTAAGATGCATAAATCAGCGGGGTTACTCGTGTAGATAATAATAATAAATAATAATAATAATAATAATAATAATAATAATAATAATAATAATAATAAACGGTTTATTGAAAAAGTTTGCAGCCCGAAGGCTGAAAATATACATTGGACATGAATGACTTATTACATACATAGGTGGTATACTGCAGATATCAGGGTGATTATCAGGTGCAAGAAAGAACGAAAGCTGCAACTCACAATCAGAAATACCAACTGAACCGAGACTGTTGTGCACGTGTTATTGTGTTCATTTCCAAATACTACATCAGACCGGGGGGGGGATACTTCTTGGAGAGACAGTATATTATTATTTTCCTATCTTAAGAACAAATGCATGATCTTAATAAGTGTAGTGATGAAGTATAAGTGTTAAGCTTCCATCGCCCTAGTTACTTAAATTATCCACCAAAATATAAATAAATGTCAACCATGAAAGCACTACTTAAGGTGGTGAATACAACACCGGAAGCCCTAGCGGTGTCTCCGACACTCCCCTGAGAAGAGAAATCCTCAATAAACAAGGTGTGTGTTGGTCTCCGGTGCCCCCCCCCCACCTACACACGAAGACTCCAGTATCAAAATAATGTCCAAATATAAGTAAATCTTAAATAGTTATCGACATGAAAGCTTTAAGTTATTTAGAAACACAGTGTTATATTAACCCAACACTTTATGTACTTCGTGACTGCTGCAGATAAAATTTAGTTCCGTATAATAAGATCGCCAGAGGTAACAAGCCCTTCACTGATCAGAGTAAAAAGCAATGTGAGGTTAATATTTGACGACTCGGAGGCCAGGGCGGTGACGTGGAGGTGAGTGGGAACACAGGTATTAGGGCGAGAGAGTTTTCCAAGCGGTGTGGACGTGCTGGAGATCATGACGCCGCAGCAAGGTGGGTCAGCAGGTGTAGGAGGTGTTAGCCAGCAGGGGTAGGAGGTGTTGGGGTCTGTAACTAGTACCACTGTCGCCGCCACGTACTTCAGTCCTCAGGCACACATCTAACAATTACTGCCCATTTTCCTCCATCTCTTCCTCTCCTCCTTCACGCTGGGAGACAACCGTAACTACTTTTATAGGTCAACACTGAGAGAAGAATTACCAAAACGTACAGTACCAGTTTATGTTTTACCGTTAGCACCTCCAATATCATTAGAGGTGTTACTTATTTCCGATTCGCAGCAGTAAGACAGCGGGCTCTAACTCCTACACTGTCACCTTGAACATTTCCTATTTACTGTTAATTATACAATAATGATACACTAACACCCGAAAATTATCCCAGTTTCCACCATATAAGGAGGTAAAGTCGCTTCCTGTTGGTTCATTAAGTAGGAAGCTCTCCCTTATGACAGACAGGTGAAGCCTTTACCGACCATTGTCTCTCACCTCCTCAGGGTAACAATACAATCTTATCAATAAGTTATCAACGACACTCCACTCAAGGCGTCACTCAAGTGGTGCTTGTCCTGAGCTCCTGTGGCATATGTTGCTCTTCGCTACTCACACATTTTCCTGTGCATGTACAGTACCACATACACGACTTGTACACACCCGTGCTGGATCCCGTCACTGTTGATACACTATACAGGACCACATATAAGAGGGTGTTACCTGGAGACAGACTGGGATGTACTGTAGAGTAAGTGGGGGAATACGTGGGTGATGTAGAACAAAGTTGGCTGGAGCTGGTGAGACGTGTGCGGTCCCAAGCCTTCCTAGTGAGTAACTGTTCGACTCTTGCACAGTAACGCTGAGCAGTGGCGTGCACACCCGACCCCTCACCCACACGGTGCACACCCCACTCTAACTGTTCACCCCTCTCCTAACTGTCTCATTTATCCCTCTCTTCCACATCCCACACACAATCATAATATATTAAATACAATAATTTTCGTAAAGGAAAATTTTAAATATTGGTATAATAAATACGTATATTTTAAGTATATCTGAAAACATGCGAGGACCATTTGAACGCATGAGCATGAATTTCGTCACGATTGTCTAACACACGCACACCCACACACCCGTGCAAGCACAAAAAAAATACTTCTCAACTTTTGCAATGTACACGATATAAGAGTTCACACCTACAGAACAATCACTCTAACCACATCTGTGCCCAACCAAGGAACAAACACATCTGTGCCTAACCAAGGAACAAAAACATCTGTGCCTAACCAAGGAACAAACACATCTGTGCCTAACCAAGGAACAAACACAACTGTGCCTAACCAAGGAACAAACACATCTGTGCCCAACCAAGGAACAAACACATCTGTGCCCAACCAAGGAACAAACACATCTGTGCCCAACCAAAGAACAAACACATCTGTGCCCAACCAAGGAACAAACACATCTTGGAACAAACACCCAAGACAAACACATGTGAAGAAAACATTGTGTGCAAACACATCTGTGCCAACCAAAGAACAAACACATCTGTGCCCAAAGAACAAACACATCTGTGCCCAACCAGGAACAAAACATCTGTGCCCAACCAAGGAACAAACACATCTGTGCCTAACGAAGGAACAAGCATCTGTGCCCAACCAAAGAACAAACACATCTGTGCACAAAGAACAAACACATCTGTAACCAAGGAACAAACACATCTGTGCCCAACCAGGAACAAACACATCTGTGCCCAACAAGGAACAAACACATCTGCAAGAGGAACAAGCATCTGCAACCAAGGGAACAAACACATCTGTGCACAAAAGAACAAACACATCTGTGCCCAACGAAGGAACAAGCACATCTGTGCCCAACCAGGAACAAACACATCTGTGCCCAACCAAGGAACAAACACATCTGTGCCCAACCAAAGACCAAACACATCTGTGCTCAACCAAGGAACAAACACATCTGTGCTCAACCAGGAATAAACACATCTGTGCCAACAAGGAACAAACACATCTGTGCAAAACAAACACATCTGTGCCGAACCAAAGAACAAACACATCTGTGCCCAACCAAGGAACAAACACATCTGTGCCCAACCAGTGAACAAACACATCTGTGCCTAACCAAGGAACAAACACATCTGCCTAACCAAGGAACAAACACATCTGTGCCCAACCAAGGAACAAACACATCCGTATCAAACCAGGAACAAACACATCTGTGCCCAACCAAGGAACAAACACATCTGTGCCCAACAAAAGAACAAACACATCTGTGCCCAGCAAAAGAACAAACACATCTGTGCAACCAAGGAACAAACACATCTGTGCCCAACCAGGAACAAACACATCTGTGCCTAAACCAGGGAACAAACATGTGCCCAACCAAGGAGCAAACACATCTGTGCCCAACTAAGAACAAACACATCTGTGCCCAACCAAGGAACAAACACATCTGTGCCCAACCAGGGACAAACACGTCTGTGCCCAGCCAAGGAACAAACACATCTGTGCCCAACCAAGGAACAAACATCTGTGCCCAACCAAAGAACAAACACATCTGTGCCCAACCAAAGAACAAACACATCTGTGCCCAACCAAAGAACAAACACATCTGTGCCCAACCAAAGAACAAACACATCTGTGCCCAACCAGGGAACAAACACATCTGTGCCCAACCAAGGAACAAAAACATCTGTGCCCAACCAAGGAACAAACACATCTGTGCCCAACCAAGGAACAAACACATCTGTGCCCAACCAAAGAACAAACACATCTGTGCCCAACCAAGGAACAAACACATCTGTGCCCAACCAAAGAACAAACACATCTGTACCCAACCAAGGAACAAACACAACTGTGCCCAACCAGGGAACAAACACAACTGTGGCCAACAGGGAACAAACACATCTGTGCCCAACCAGGAACAAACACATCTGTGCTCAACAAGGAACAAACACATCTGGCCCAACCAGGGAACAAACACATATGTGCCTAACCAAGGAACAAAAACATCTGTGCCTAACCAAGGAACAAACACCTGTGCCCAACCAAGGAACAAAACATCTGTGCCCAACCAAGGAACAAACACATCTGTGCCCAACCATGGAACAAACACATCTGTGCCCAACCAAAGAACAAACACATCTGTGCCCAACCAAACAAACACATCTGTGCCCAACCAGGGAACAAACACATCTGTGCCCAACCAAGGAACAAACACATCTGTGCCCAACGGGGAACAAGCACATCTGTGAACAGAACACACTGACCAAGGAACAAACACATCTGTACCCAACAAGACCAAACACATCTGTGCTCAACCAAGGAACAAACACATCCGTGCCTAACCAGGAACAAACACATCTGTGTCTAACCAAGGAACAAACACATCTGTGCTCCAACCAAGGAATAAACACATCTGTGCCTAACCAAGGAACAAACACATCTGTGCCCAACCAAAGAACAAACACATCTGTGCCCAACCAGGGAACAAGCACATCTGTGCCAACCAAGAACAAACACATCTGTGCCCTAACCAAGGAACAAACACATCTGTGCCTAACCAAGAACAAACACATCTGTGCTCAACCAAGGAACAAACACATCTGTGCCTAACCGGGAACAAACACATCTGTGCCCAACCAAGGAACAAACACATCTGTGCATAACCAGGAACAAAACATGCCCCAACCAAGGAACAAACACATCTGTGCCTAACCAGGGAACAAACACATCTGTGCCCAACCAAGGAACAAACACATCTGTGCCCAACCAAGGAACAAACACATCTGTGCCCAACCAGGAACAAACACATGCCCAACCAAGGAACAAACATCTGTGCCCAACCAGGAACAAACACATCAGCGCCCAACAAGGAACAAACACATCAGCGCCCAACCAAGGAACAAACACATCTGTGCTTAACCAAGGAACAAACACTCAACCAACACCAGGAACAAACATATCTGTGCCCAACCAAAGAACAAACACATCTGTGCTAACCAAGGAACAAAAACATGTGCCCAACCAAGGAACAAATACATTGCTAGCCAGGAACAAACACATCTGTGCCCAACCAAGGAACAAACACATCTATGCCAACCAAAGGACAAACATATCTGTGCCCAACCAAAGAACAAACACATCTGTGCTAACCAAGAACAACACATGCCCAACCAAGGAACAAACACATCTGTGCTAACCAAAGAACAAACACATCTGTGCCTAACCAAGGAACAAACGCATCTGTGCCCAACCAAGGAACAAACACATCTGTGCTAACCGAACAAACATCTGTGCTAACCAAGGAACAAACACATCTGTGCCCAGCAAGGAACAAACACATCTGTGCCTAACCAAAGAACACATCTGTGCCTAACCAAGGAACAAACACATCTGTGCCCAACCAAAGGAACAAACATATCGTGCCAAACCAGGAACAAACATCTGTGCCCAACCAAGGAACAAACACATCTTTGCCCAACCAAAGAACAAACATCTGTGCCCAACCAAAGAACAAACACATCTGTGCCTAACCAGGGAACAAACACATCTGTGCCTAACCAGGAGCAACACATCTGTGCCCAACCAAAGAACAAACACATCTGTGCCCAACCAAGGAACAAACATCTGTGCCTAAACCAGGAACAAACATCTGTGCCCAAACAACATCTGTGCAAAAGAACAAACACATCTATGCCCAACCAGGAACAAACACATCTGTGCCCAACCAAGGAACAAACACATCTCAGCGGAACAAACACATCTGTGCCCAACCAAGGAACAAGCACATCTGTGCCCAACCAAGAACAAACACATCTGTGCCCAACCAAAGAACAAACACATCTGTGCCAACCAAGAACAAACACATCTGTGCCCAACCAGGGAACAAACACATCTGTGCCAACCAAAGGAACAAAAACATCTGTGCCCAACCAAGGAACAAACACATCTGTGCCCAACCAAGGAACAAACACATCTGTGCCCAACCAAGAACAAACATCTGTACCCAACCAAGGAACAAACACATCTCTACCCAACCAGACAAACACATCTTGCAACCAGGGAACAAACACATCTGTGCCCAACCAGGGAACAAACACATGTGCCCAACCAGGGAACAAAACATCTGTGCTCAACCAAGGAACAAACATATCTGTGCCCAACCAGGAACAAACACATCTGTGCCTAACCAAGGAACAAAAACATCTGTGCCTAACCAAGGAACAAACACATCTGTGCCCAACCAAGGAACAAAACATCTGTGCCCAACCAAGGAACAAACACATCTGTGCCCAACAGGAACAAACACATCTGTGCCCAACCAAAGAACAAACACATCTGTGCCAACGAACAAACACATCTGTGCCCAACCAGGAACAAACATCTGTGTGCCCAACCAAGGAACAAAACATCTGTGCCCAACCAGGGAACAACACTTCTGTGTAACCAGGAACAAACACATCTGTGTCTAACCAAGGACAAACACTCTGTGCCCAACCAAGGAATAAACACATCTGTGCCTAACCAAGGAACAAACACATCTGTGCCCAACCAAAGAACAAACACATCTGTGCCCAACAGAACAAACACATCTGTGCCCAACCAAGGAACAAACACATCTGTGCCCAACCAAGGAACAAACACATCTGTGCCCAACCAGGAACAAAGCATGTGCCCAACCAGGGAACAAACACATCTGTGTCTAACCAAGGAACAAACACATCTGTGCCCAACCAAGGAATAAACACATCTGTGCCTAACCAAGGAACAAACATCTGTGCCCAACGAAAGGAACAAACACATCTGTGCCCAGCCAAAGAACAAACACATCT